CCCAGCCACAAGAAGCTGGCCGTGCGTGTTGCAGCAGGAGATCCCACCCCCCTGTGAAACTCAATAGCACCAGCGTGCAGAACACGAACGGCCAGGAAACCCTTGATCGGCGGGCGCTTTTTGCCGTGTGAGCATGTGTACGTGCAGCCTAAGAGGATCACCATTCTCCCACTCTGCCTCTTCATTAAACAGAAGAGAATTACAGGAGATAATACTGCCGCTGTCAATGGTCACAGACCTCCACCTCATTTATGCCAGTGAGAATGCCACTCTGAACACCCTTCTCCCATGCCTGCCGTATTTGTTCACATGAAACACATTCCCCTCTCTGGTCGTCTAGGGCTCAACCACTTGTCTTCAGCATAGGCCTCTTCAAGCTCAAGCAGCACTTACAGGGCGAGGTGCCAAACCTTGCAGTCGAACACACCAATGGAGACTCCTGTCACCTAGCTCTAGCCACCTGAAAATCAGACACTTTGTCTATCACATTTAGAAATCATTTAGATATCTTCCCATAATCAAAGGTAAGAGGTAAGCGCACCTTTAGAGAGTGACAGCCCTATCTTTGGTAATGAACTGAATCACCTTCTCTCCAAGCCCTACTCTCTCTCAGTGAAAGCGGGAGCAGAGATCACCAGTTTAGGCCAGGTGCCCAGCTTCCTGATGGCCGAAATCATGCAAGATGAAAGAGGCCAAAAGCATCTAAGGGTGCACTTACCCAGGGCAGCTCTTAAGCTAGTTACCTTGGGCACAGGGGTGGCAGCCGGACCACAGCACATACTGGTTCCCACCTGAGAAGGTGGGTAAATGTCTGGTTGTTGGCTTCTGGTGTTACACTGTCTTACTGCAGGCTGACTGACTACCCACGTGCTCTCCAAAATCAAAGCCATTCTGCAATGCAGACCCCAGCACAAAGGTTTGTTCGCATGTGTGGGAACTCTGTGCTTTTGCATATCCTGAGCTTTTAATGAGCAAGAACTTCTGTACTATCTTTGTCATGATTTGCTAGCAGGACTGAGAACACTGTTCACACAATAAAAAGCAAGAAACAAACACTGCTTTACAAGCATATACTTTCAACACATGAAGCAAAAGAAACTTTTAACAAGCACAGTAAAGACGTACCGGTGCGAGGAGACATGCTGTCCAGCAGTTTCACCATGCCTTCTCCCTGCACCGCCGTCCACTTCTTGATCGGTGATCCACCTCCAATCCTGCTGTACTGCTCCTGGATTTTCGGTGTGCGGCGCTTAGCAATGAACGGTGCTAATTTACTACAGCAGTCAAAAGGTACACGTATTAATATCACAACCCAAATCACCGCCCCTTTCCCCAAATCTCTCCGCTGCAGTGGGCTGTCTATGGCAGTCTCCCCAAATTACAGCAAACCAGCACTGCATGGCTTGTTCAATGTTATTATATTCCACTGCCTTTCCAAACTTAGAGGCCAGTGACAGGAAACCACAATTTGCAATTAGAAGAGAACGATTATAACAGCATCTCTTGCACGGACTGGTCTCAAGATGAAACAGTCTTAAGAAATGCTGATATGAACGGAAGTTAAATGTCCGAGCCTACAGCTAAGAAGCTAAGACAGCAACACCCAACACTGACTGTACACAGGAGTTCACGGTGTCTCTCACTTTTGAGCTGGAAGCGTCATTAGATCTCTGTCCAGGAAGAGACGAAGTAAGAAATCATGCACATCATCCAGCCGTTCTGGACCTCCCATGTTCAACATCAAGATTCCTGTTTTAGGCTTCCTATGGAAGTAAGACATATTTCAAATCCTAGTGACCTACTGCTTTTTTAATTATTATTATTGTTATTATTACAAAACAATCAGCTTATCCTTCTTTCTTTGTCTTGTGCAAAAGCAGCATCCTATTTAGAAGCTCGTTTTATGTAAAAATACAAACTACAAGCATGAATAGCCAGAGAACAAGGACATACACTTTTTTTTTTACTTTTTTTTTTTTAAAAAAAAGTAATCACTTTGCAACGCAGAGTTTAACTGGAAATACACTGAGAAAGTTATCTTGCAGCTGAAGGCTGCCTGGGAGGTTACAAACCCGAGTCCAAGGAACTATCTCAGCTGAACACCAGCTGTAGGTTCCAGCCAAACCAAGCAGCAGCTCCTCAGAAAACAGATGCGCTATCCACGCAGGACTTTGTGTTCCTTACTTCGGAGACACATCTCATCTCCCGAAGCAGTGAAAGCAGCAAAGAGCCATTCTACACATCAGATAAGTGCAGGGTTGGTTTTCTTTGGGTTGTTGGGGTTTTTTCCCCCACAACAAGCTTCCTATCAAGGTGAGGTCTGGCACACCGTTCTGAGGATAACGTCCCCTGCAGCACAGCGGAGCAGAGCAGATGGCGGTACCAGCTTTCACAGAAGCAACTGCTGATCACAACTCCCACCCAAGAGCTGGATTTCCCCACCGCATTGTTTCCCCTGCCCAAGGGAGCCCAGCGATCAGGAACCCTCACCTCCTGAGCGGACAGAGCCAAGGCTGCCCAGGGAGCTCTGCCCTCCCCTTGTTAAAGCCAGAGGGGCGCTGAGAGGAGCCTAGGCCTGCCCCGATGGGTTGGGATCTCTTTCCGCTCCCTTCCTCCCAGAGCGTCTATCAGGAGGTTGCTGAATAAAACCCAGGAAGCAGGAACCGGAACCTCAGATAACAACAATATCCTACTGTTTGTTCTTCTGTCGCTTCTGCACTGCCTCAGGCCTCACCGCGGGCCCCTGCCCGCTGCGCTCTGCAGAGAGCAGGGCAGGCCATCCTGGCCCCGCAGAGCGGTGCAACAAGAGGCTCGGTGATGCAGCCAGGCAGAGAAAAGCAGTCACACTGACACAGAAAAGCCAGACCGAGCCCCACGACTGCCACGTTTTACTACACGACCAGCTCTGCTGTGCACGTAAAGCAGCACCGCGTACCAGAGAGAGACAGAGGGCAACGGGAGCAGATCGCACCCACCCAGACCTCCCTGCACACTTACCGTGCTTCTGGCTGGATTTGAGGTTTCGTGCTCTCTGTCACCGCGGCGGCAGCTGCCTGACCCCTCCATCGTACCGGGACCCTCAGCTGGCTGCTGCTTTTCACAACTGGAAGAAAGATCACAGCACACTGATAACCTCGCACGGGGCTGAGGGGCCTCATCACCAGATAGGCACTAATCCCCCAACAGCTTCATAAACACTCCTGGCAGTACTGCGCTGCTTGGCATTTTCTCCCTTAAGCTCCAGGGCCTGGAATCAAAGAAAGTCATGAAATTGCAAGCTTCTGCCTTTCTTTAAACACTCTGTGTGCTAACAGCTTTTCAGATACCAGGTAGTAACCTATAACCAAACAAAAGCCTCACTAATCTTTAAGCTCCAATCCTAAGTCCAAAATAACTGGTGACAACACAACAGAAACTGCGCAGGGGTGACACACTGAGGGAGTAAGTATGTCAAGCTACGTAACTCCTCACGGTACAGACACACCTGGGCTAACGCTAGACAAGCAAAGTATTTCTACACCAGCTCTACAAGGTAGGTTAGACAATTGTTAATTCAGGGTCCCCTGCAACCTTCAGCAACATGGGTGCACACCTGTGAGCCGTAAGCACAGAGCTCCTTAGTTTGACCCTGTGTCAGGTACACCGAGCAGCAATTTCGGAATCCATTTATCCAGGGACACAGGCAGCCTTCTTTCTCACTACCCAACTAGGCGACTTCTATTATTCCCAGATTTCAGCATCAGCCAAAACCCAGATACTTTACTTCCCACATGCTGCTTACAGCCTGCTTTTTCAAAAGCACACTTTGTTTTCCTCAGGAGTTCATAGTCATTACACGATATTTTTCAGTGCAACAATAGTGTGAATTGCCCAAGATGAAAAAAATTGTTAAATTCTGCCTCCGCAGCTCTCCGGCAATTGTTTGGTGCGACACTTCCCTTGTCAGACTGCAGGGGTTCAGGAGCAATTGAGCCCCAGCAGCACAGCCCTCCTCAGCAGCCAATCCACCCGCTGAGAAGAGCATCTTACGGTTCACAGGTCCCTAATAACATCCTGAACAGATGCTGAACACCCTCAAAACCTGCTGAAATCAATGACAATGAAAAGCATCTGGCAAATCCAGCTTCTTACTCGGGATTAAGAGTGTGTAGCTGTGGACGCCTGTGCCTGCAGTGATATAAAAGACTGCAAACTGAAGAGCTTCAATTCAAGCACTGCTGATGCCTGGAAGACTCTTTTCAAATATCTGCTATTCTTCCAGTTCTTAGTTTATTACTTTTTGAAGCAATGACACCATATGTAAATTAAACAGAACAATAAAAAGAGATGTTTCAATGCCTGTATCTATCCTTCTGCACTGTAAATAAATACTGGAAACCATTTGTTTTATTTAAGGTGAGGTTTATGCACATTTCTATCTGCACCGTAGAGCACATGACACAGAACGCACAGGACGGGTGACAACGACGATCCCAGCTTGACGGACTACGTGATCACCAGAGGCCCTTCCAACTCCTACTGTCCTGCGAACGCGGGTAAAAGCGTTCTTTTGGGAGTTTTAGAAACAGCGTTACGGTGTCAGCCTCTGACAAAACTGGTCGCCCGTGCGTGCCCGCAGTTCCACCGGTCTGGGGGTAAAGCGCGCCGGTGCCTCTCGGTCAGTGCGCGGAGCCACTCTGCC